GGGCTTTGCCAAGTCTGAATTCCCAGCATGAAGGAGTCCAAAATTCATCAGGGCAGAGAAGACGTGTCAGGGTGAGATCCAGCCCTGCTCAGAACTGGGGAGCAGTGCCTGGGACGAGGGTGCAGACAGCACTGACCTCTCTGTGCAGCACCCCAGGCACAGGACGAGGGGAGGAGAACACCCAGGGGTCTCTGGACCCCCTCTGAGCTCCCCTATGTCCTTGCAATATTTTTCTCCTACGCACATTGCCAAGAAATGGCTGGAGGCTTCTCCCTTCCACGCTGCTGGCTGCTGGCAGATGCCCTGGGCGAAATGTCAGAGCAGGGAGATGTGATCTGTTCCAGCCCAATGTCACTCAGCTTCCTCTCCCAGGGTCCCTGGGAGAAGCGGGCAGAATTGAGCTGCTGCTGGGGTTGCGGTGAGGGCCCTGGGGACACCTTCTGTCCCTCAGGCAGCTCAGAGCAGCAGCAAGATGGTGGGAAGGGGAACTGCGTGGGGATTGCATGCTCATGTTGAGGGGTTGCATTGGTTGGGCAGCAGAAGGCAGCTCTGAGCTAATGCCTGGCTGCAGGGACTGCCACTGCTCCAGGGAGGTTTTCTGCAGATGGGTGACATGTATCACCATGATCCAAAGGTCTGAGAGTGGAGCTGTGTCCCAGAGGACCGACTCTGTAAAATGAGCTTTCTCATCCACTTAACTCTTTCCCACCTGAAACCAGCCCTGACGTTCAAAAGCAGCAGCAGGACTGCTGTGCTCAGAAGGGTTAATCCTGCACTCCCTCCCTGCAGGCTTTTGTGCCTGGTCTGCATCAGTCTGGGCCTGGGCCAGGCTCTGCACGGTGCCATATGGAATCCTCCACCTGTTTGGGGCATTTCCTCCCCAATCCTGGTGGCTTGCCCAGAGCTGGCTGCCTTTCGTTGCTTTTGATCACAGGTTGGCAGCATCAGTTCTTGAGCTGGCTTTGTCCCGCTGGCAGGCAAAGCCCCCGAGCCAGCTCAGGAGGAAGGTGGTCCTGTATGGAGCATCTCTTGCCAATATGGCTTCAACCCAAAGTTGTGGAGCTGGAGCAGAACCTCAGCCCATGGAGACTCAGCAATCTGGCTGCCTCTCTGGCTTCCCTCCTCAGCCCTGGCATTGCAAACTGCTCCCCAGCAGTATTGCTTCTTGGAAAGGACCGTAGGTGATGCTGTCTCACAGCAGGAACCACTGGATAGCTGCCTGTACAATGCCTTCTCTGCAGGAAGGTTGGGCCTGGCTCTTTCAGGCCAGCAGCTCTACAGCAGGGCTGGAGTGGGAGCTCCCCATCCTTCTAACAGCAACTCCACCGCTTCCATCGCAGGACCGTGGGTGGCAGCAGCAGCAGAAGAGACCTCCAGGCCACTCTGCGGCCTTCAAGACCCCACAGGTATGCCTTGTGGGTCTCGGCAGCTCCAATGGCTTTCCTGTCCCGGTTCTCCAGGAACAGCACCAGGTCACCGAGTCGGGGTGTGCGGGAGGAACGCAACCACCATCCCATCCTCAGCATCTTCGAGCTCGAACGGTTGCTGTACACAGGGAAGACAGCCTGTAACCATGCTGATGAGGTCTGGCCGGGACTCTACCTGGGAGATCAGTACGTATCACGAGGGGATGAGAAGTGAGGGGATGAGGGATGGTTTTTGAAATGGAGGAGACTAGGAGAGGAAAGTTGGGAAAGTGAGGGAGAGGAGGACATGGGTTGAAGGAGGAGGAAGGACCATGTGCCCATGGACTGTGAGATTACCTATCACTGTGAGTTTGAGTTCAGCATCTTTCCTTCTCCTTTGGCTTTCTCAGATGCAAATGCTTGACCAGGACATTTGAAACTTCTCTTTAATGTGCAATTTTCCTGCACTGTTTCTCCCTCCTTGCAGAGATATAGCAGCCAACCGGCGTGAGCTGGCTCACCTGCGCATCACCCACATCCTCAACGCCTCGCACAGCAAATGGAGAGGGGGTGCAGAGTACTACGAGGGCACGGGCATCCGCTACTTGGGCATCGAGGCCCACGACTCGCCCTCCTTTGACATGAGCCCCTACTTCTACCCTGCAGCTGACTTCATCCATCAGGCGCTGAATGAAGGTCAGTGATAAAGAGTGCTGGGACAGACGTGGGCAATGCGGAGGGTGGGTGGAAAGCTGATTGGCATCCTAGGAAACAAAGCTACTTCCAGGCTGATGTCTTTGCAGAATCATAGAAATATTAAGTTTGGAAAAGATCACTAAGGCAATCTAGTCCAACAATCTTCTGGTCTGGATCACCTCCTCCAAAGAGGAGATGGGCCCTGGCCCCATGGGTCACAGCCTCAGCCTGTGTCCAGCACTGTGGCTGCTCCTATTCAGACTGTTTGGGGAGACCCTGTTGCTCTGATACCCTTTGCCAAGGAGGGGACAACTGTGCATCATAGCCATGCTATAGCTGAGGCCCTACCTGCAGCCCTGGAGGCTGCACGCCTGACTTCAGCACCAGGATGCACACAGCAAATTTGGATCCTCAGTAACTTTCTATTTGGGATATTCACCCTGCTGTGACACAGCCCCTGTGTTTTACCCACAGGAAGGATCCTTGTGCACTGTGCTGTCGGGGTGAGCAGGTCGGCCACCTTGGTCCTCGCCTACCTCATGATCCGCCACCACATGCCCCTCGTAGAAGCCATAAAGACGGTCAAGGATCACCGTGGTATCATCCCCAACCGGGGGTTCTTGCGCCAGCTGGTCGCCCTGGACAATGCCCTGAGGCTGAAGAGGAGCGCGTGAAGGAGGATGAGAAGGGCTGTGTGGTGGGAGCAGTGCAGTGCTCATCCCATACCACTGAGTGGCAGAGGTAGATAGGGCTTTCCTCTTGGTGCAGATGCTTGGCAGCTAATGGGTTCCATGCAACCGGTCTCCCCCAGCAGAGGGGGTCCACAGACATGCGAGCTATTCCTAGTGGTAAAGCATAGGCCCTCAACCTGCAATCTTGCCACTTAGGTAGGCCTAATGCATAGCCTCCTTCCCAGCCTGCTCGTGCAGAGATGCCTCTGGAGAGACATGGCCCCATGTTTCAGGTTATTCTGGACCCCTGTTGGCTCCTGGAAGCCTTCAAGGGTTGGTTCTCCTGTGTGGCAGATGCATCTGCCAAGCCTGTCCCATCTCTCCCTCCCAGGAGACTGAAGCTGTGTGTGTTCCTTGTCTTGTTTCCCATTTGTTTTCGGTCTGTGCAGCGATGTGAATTAGGTCTGGCGTATGGTCCCCGGCAAACAGGCCTTTATTCATAGTGTTTGGGTGTCCTCTGTGCTTAGTGATAACCTGTACAAATAAAGGCAGTGCTAAGGAAGAAATCTGGCCATCCCTTGTGTGCTTTGAGACAGACTTTGTGTTCAGGCTGCAAATCTGCCATGGGTGTGGAAGAACATCGCCTTGGTGTGCTCAGGGTTAGGATGGGCAGAAGTCCTCCCTGATCCTCAGTCCAGGATAGAAAGGGGTGAATCAGAGAATGAAATTACTGTCAGACTGCGTGTGCTGTGCACTGCTGGGTGTGCTGTGCATTGCTGGGTGTGCTGTGCATTGCTGTGTGCTGTGCATTGCTGTGTGTGCTGTGCACTGCTGTGTGCTGTGCATTGCTGGGTGTGCTGTGCATTGCTGTGTGCTGTGCATTGCTGGGTGTGCTGTGCATCACTGGGTGCTGTGCATTGCTGTGCATATGCTGTGTGCTGCGCATCGCTGTGTGCTGTGCATTGCTGTGGGTGCTGTGCATTGCTGGGTGTGCTGTGCATTGCTGAATGCTGGCAGTGTCCGGGCATCTCTGCTGGGAGGTCGATGAGCAGTGAGGGATGCTGCTCATCGAGGGAAGTGTCTGATCATGCCCAAATCTCCTTTGCATCTCTTGCACAAGGCTGAGAGTCACTGGGAGCTCAGCGCCTACAGCACAGCTCCCCGGACGGCTGATGCACAGAAGGGTTTGTGTTGGAAGGCACCTAAAAATCCTTCAGCTCCCGTTCCTGCCATGGGCTGGGATATCCCCCAGCAGCCCCATCCAACGTGCGGGACGTCCCGCAGGGATGCACGGTGCTCTCCTCCCCGGCGCAGAGCGGGGCTCGGGGCGAGCAGAACCCGAAGCTCCGAGACCGGGGGCGGCTCCGGGGGCGGCTCCGTGGGCCGGGGCGGAGTTTGAGGGGCCGGGGCCGCTCCCTGCCGCCCGGCCCGGCCCCGCTCCCGGCCATGGCCCGGCGCTACGCACGGCGGAGCCGGTCCGGCCCCGCGGAGCCGCTCCCGGATGCCCCCGTTCCAGTGGTGCCACGGTGAGAGCGGGGCCGGGGTTTGGGGCTGCAGCCCTAACCGGGATGGGGTTGAGGGGTTGGGGTGGCTCCAGGCTGCTTCGCGTCCCGGGCGGTGCCTTCTGGCTCCTCCCGGAGCTCTGTGGACTCGGGTCAGGGTCAGGGTTAGGGTTAGGGTCAGGGTCAGGGTCAGGGTCACCTCCCTCTCGTTTCTGGTTCACTTCCAGAGCTCCAAGCCCACTGCTGATGAAACTTGCAGCGTTTTTGCTCGTGTTGCTCAAAATGCAAACCCTTCTCCCACGTGTCTGTGGAATAAACTTATGTTAGTGGAGCCCAGGCGCGGCTCCTCGCTCTGCTCCTGGCTGAAAGAAACTCACAGAAACATGGAACTGTTTGCACATGTGAGGGAGTTCTGTTTAAACGAGAAGTGGTTGATTTTTATGACTAATAGCTGAGAAGCTGAGCTGGGAATTCCACCATCAAAGCTCTGCCTCAGCAACAAAGGCCGGGTTCTTTTAATTTATGGAGGGGTTACAGCCTTTGAAGCTAAATATAATGCAACCAGTGGCTTCCTCTGCTGTAACGCAATGCCCTGCGTGTGCTGTGCAGCTGGGGTGAGCAGTGCTCCTGCAGGCAGGCAGGTTGCCCGTGTGCCAGCCATGGGTTGCCCTCGTGGGCTGCTTTAGTGCTCCTCAGCAGCAAATGCAGCAGCCCCAGGCACAGAGTTTGCTTTGGGAGGCTCTGAGCAGCCACAGCTCTCCCAGCTTCCTCCTGTTTGGGCTTTGGGCAGCGCTGAGAACAGAGCCTGCCCTTGTGTAAAGGCCAGGATGTGGGTTTAGGACTGGCCTTAAGCATCTGACGTGTGTGTTTTGGCCTTAAGCCCTGACCTCACAAATATTTAAGTCAATGGTGTCCAGCAAAATTGCTTTGTTGTATACTTTTGAGGACCGTCGCAGAATCGGGGCCATTGGTGCGAATAAACGTGATATCCAGCAAAGAAATTGAGTTTTCAACACAAATAGTTGTGCTCCCCATTTCATAACAGAAGGTATGTGCTGCGCTGGCCTGGAACTGCAGCTCCTCTTTGGCATCACAGCTTTTCCTCCCATTGCTCAGCTGTTCTCTGGGGGATTTGGTGGTCCCCAGCCCTGATCTTTGGTGGGCACTGTCCCTGCTGTGAGCTGTTGGCACAGGGCAGGCTTTTGCAGGAAGCCCATTGCAGCATCACAGCAAAAATTATATGGAAGCTGCATTCAATTTTGGTGATGCAAAGCTCATAGCTTTTGTGCGGGAGTGGAAAGAATGGTTTTATTTAATGACCTGCTGAGTTTTCCATTTGTTTGATTGAACAAGAATTGGGGGTGAGGGAGAAGCTGTGCTCAGCACAAACCCCATGCCTGCATCCAGCTCACAAAGCACTGCACGGACAGAGTCACCATTCGTGCCTGCTGCTTTCCAGGCCTCTGCCTTCAGGTGCAGAACTGGCCCTGGGGAGGCTTACATTGGTTGGTTTGGGTTTGGTGCCCATCGGGCCCTTGCTGTATTAAAACCAGATTTGCTCTGTTCCTCTCGAGCTAAAAATACAAAAGCCTTTGTCAGGCAAAGGGCTGTGCTAATTAATCCCAGCACCAAATCAGCGCCCGTCCTGCTAATAAATTCCATTGGGAAGAGATGCAGGAGCCGGGGGGTCTGGCTGGAACGGCTGGGATTGCTGCTCCAGGACTCATCCTGCTCCCTAGCCGGGTCAGGCACTGCCCAGAGCTGTGCTCCCTTCTGGCCCTTGGGAATTCCTGAGCGCCTTTTTAGCAGGAATGAACCTTGCTAAGCTGGTGGGTCTAAAATTAACCCTGCCAGCTGTGTTGCGACTGGCAGGGACGTGTCAGAGCTGCTCCTGTCTGCTTCCTTCGGTACGGGGCTGTAAGTTACAGCTTCTCCTCTCCTACCTCATCTGTGCCCCTGCTCCATGTTACTGCTCTGCCAATCCCTGTGTGTGAGTGGCAAAGAGTGGGAACAGCCCTGCATTCCCATCAAAAGAAGGGCCAAATGGGACTCAGCTTCCCAACCCTTAGCTTGTTCTGGGGCTGCTCCTGGTGCCGTAGTTCTTGTGGCAGTGGAGCTTTTCACACGTGGAAGCAGCATTGCTTTATCTGCATGCTCATGGACTATGATCGTTGCCACAACTGTTCTCCTTTTGGTCACCTTCAAATTGAGCCTTGCTCCATCCCTCAGCACTGCTGAGCAGTCTGTGCACCCTGCACACAGCATTACCTCATGTGCTTGTTCCGTGGGGTTTTTTTTAAAAGCTGAGATAGTTCTTTTAATATTTTTTTTTTCTTCTTTTCCCCCTGCAATCATTTCCAGCAGGGGAAAAAAAAAAAAAATCCCCAAAAAAAAAAAAGAAAAAAAAAAAAAAAAAAAAAAGCAACCCTTTCCTATTGTCTTTTCCTGCACCTGGTGGTCTGGAGAGCAGAATGCTGGGAGAACAGCAGCCAACAAACAAATCCTCCCTTTCATGCTCCATAGATGAGTGGCACATAGGCTGCGTCAAGCAATTACAGGAGGCAAAGGCCAGCAGTGGCTCTGCCCTCTGTAGGCAGGAAAGCCTCGTTTCCTGCAGCCCAGATGCTCACCTGATGCACATCCCTGAGCTGGATGCCTCCCATCCTTCGCAGTGCACAGATCTGCCTTGGGCACATCGTGCTGCTGGAGAGCAGCTCAACGTCTGTGGAGATGCAGCAGTCAGTGCTGGCAAAAGAAGTGGTGCTGCCCCTGCAGAGATCTCTGATTTCCAGCCCAGAAGACAGTGTCAGGGCTTTTGTTAGGGGATGGGAGGCTCTGGGGACTGCATTGGGAGAGTACAGATGGGAGTGAGCAGGAGCTGCACATGTCTCCTGCCCTGGTCTGCAGGGTGACCTCCTGCCCTGTATGGCATATCCTGTATGGCATGGCAGAAGGTAAGTTTCATCTTCTGTTCTTCACCTCTTCTTCCTCTTTTTTCTAATCTCAATACTGAGTTTTATTCTCCCCTCAAAGGGTGCTCCTGCAGTCTGGGGCTGATTTACACCAGTAAACCCTGCACGATGCCCCCCATCACATTCCAGGACCTGCCACTCAACATCTACATGATCATTTTTGGCACCGGCATCTTTGTCTTCGTGCTCAGCCTCATCTTCTGCTGCTACTTCATCAGGTGAGCCGGAACCCTGCAGCACTGATTGCTGTTCAGATGGGGACTCATCATCCAGGAACATCCGCAGAGCCTGGACCACTGTGCCCATCGCTTTGTCCCGTTGCACAAGAGCTGCTCATCACAAGGCTCTGTCCCAAGGACTGGGGCCAGGCTCAGTCCCCTGGTCCCCTGTGGCAGAGCAGGGCAGGAAACGCAGGAAGGGGCTCTTGTTTTTCAGGGGACCACGCGGAGCAATGCATTGTGTTGGGCAGGGGAAGGAGCAGTGCTGCACAGGAGAAGGATGTCTTTCCACTCCCCTCCCAGCTCAGGGAAGGCTATTTTTAAACTCAGCAGCAGCAGCTGGCGTTTCTTGTGGGCTCGAGTTGCTCTGTCCTTCCCTGCAGGATGCCTCAGCCCCACTGCAACCCTCAGCCATTTGGGGGCTCTGGGAGCACACCTCAGTGCCTGGCCTGGGGGAGAAGTGAAGGCTGCAAGCGTTCTCATTCCCCCTATGCTTTGCTGGGTTGCTCTGCAAGCAGCTCTCTCCTCTGTCTGTCTCGGCCAAGGTCGTGGTGGGGCTGGGAGCTGCCAGTGGGTGAGTGCTGGAAATAGGGCGCTTCCTGTGCCGCGAATGACTTCCGAAGGCAAACAATTGGGGCCGTCGGCCCTTATCGCTGCCTGCTGCTGATTCCTGCAGGTGGAGCAGAGCCCTCGGCTCTGCAGGAGAGGGGCTTTGGGAGGGGAACTTAGGGAGCATCCTGGAACTGTATCCGTGCTGTTCAGATGCTCCTCTCGGGGATGCTGTAAAGTTCACGGTGCTTTTTTTTCTCCCCATCTCTAGCAAACTGCGGCACCAGGCACAGAGTGAGAGATTTGGGTACAAGGAGGTAAGGCTGATGGCTGTTTTCTGCAGATGCCTCTAGAGACGTGGGGTCGATGTAGGAGGTGGGAGCAGCTGGTTAGGATGCAGCAGGGTGTGATGGTTCTTGTCCCCAGCTTACCCACCAACACGTTGGGCACACAGCTGCAGTGCCCAGCTCAACCTGCCCCTGCCTGGCTCATTTCAGTGAAGCTTAAGGGCTGGGTCTGTCCCACAGGAGCCCGGAGCCCCATTTGAGGTGGCTGATGAGCACATGGGCACTGTTGGTCCAGCTTGGACTTTTCCCAGTTCCATGCTTGCTTCATACAAACCTACCACTGGATCAGTCCCCAGCTGCTCCTGATACTCATCTGCTGTCTCCTTCCCAGGTGGTTTTGAAAGGCGATGCCCGGAGGCTGAATGTGCATGGGGTGAGTATGGTGCATTCATCACAGCTCCATCCTTTGGGCTCACATGGGGCTCCTGGGGTTGTATGGTGACAGAGTTGGACAGGGATGTGTCAGCATCAGGCTGGAATCAATAGTTTTGGGTTGAAAATCAGGAAGCAAAACCGTTCCTTGAGCAGCGTGGGGCTGGGAATACCCGGGGAGAGGCATTCCAGCAGCAGGGCTTCCCCAGCCACAGCATTTCTAGCAGGGGCTGTGTATGGACATCACTTGGGGTTCCATGCATTCTTGCTCACCCTCACCTCTTTCTCACCCCCTGCAGCAGACCTGTGCAGTCTGTCTGGAGGACTTCAAGGTGAAGGAGGAGCTGGGGGTGCTGCCGTGCCAGCATGCCTTCCACCGAAAGTGAGTACGGGTGTGTGGGCAGCAGGGGATTCCTTTCTGGGGATTTACATCTCCCCACGTCTCTGCTCCGCAGGTGCCTGGTGAAGTGGCTGGAAGTGCGCTGCGTGTGCCCCATGTGCAACAAACCAATGGCAGGTCCAGCCCAGCCCCACGCCAGCATCGGCACTCTGCTGGATGAAATGGTGTGAGCGGCCCCGCCGGTTTTCGCAGGAAAATGAAAGCTTAATCCTGAAGGATTTGGGGTTTTGTGAGCCGGGGTTTGGCTCACGGTGCGTCGCTTTGTTTCGGGGAGGGGGGTAGGGGGTGTTTGTTTGTACCCCAATGTGCTCTGCAGGGACCGCCTGGGTGGAGCTGAGAGCGTTGCTCCCTGCTCAGAGCGTTCTGTACCCCAACCCTCCGGACTCTCAGCCTCCCCCCCCTTTTGGGGGAGAAATGTACAGGTTTGCGTAAAACAGATTAAACGGATGTTTGTTAGTCGGGCTGAAATGCGAGTGTGAAATGCGGGGCAGAAAACAGCAGGGCTGCGCAATAACATTGAAGCACCCTAAAATACCCCGAAAACGGGAAAACCCAGCCGCGAACAGAACCCAAAACCCACACGAAGTTCGTTATTTCGCTGTGGTAATTAAAAACCTACAACCAAACACAACTGCTGATTCGTCAAACTGCTGATTCGTCAACGCGACCCTCCGGCGCTCAGAAGGGGCTGTGCACGTCGTAACTGAGGGCGCACACGTCACGCAACCGCGTGCCACTCCCATTCATCATTCGCTATGAACCGGAAGGATCGAAAACGCGCCCCTCCGCGCCCGCCCCTACTGCCGTGCACCTCACCCGCAGCTCACGGCGAGGCGAACTCTTTTCGTTGTTCCCTTGTCTTTTGCACCTCTCGTCCTCTGCCTACGGACACAGCTCAGTTCGGCTCTCATCGCCTTTCTACGCGTCTTCGGGTGTGCACGATAACTCCGCACAGGGTTCTTATTACCTATGCTAATTTATTCGCGCGGCGCCACGCCCACTTCGCCATTTACAGCACAATCTGATTTTACGGCAGCGGGGGACTCTGGTTTTATGACAGCAGCGCGCTTTGTGGTCGTGGTGTGGTTTACGGCAGCGTGAAGGCAGCTGCTGTTCGCTATGAGGCGCTGCGGGGCTTTCGGAGCGGCGTAGGTCTCGCGGTGCCATGGAGCCTCAGCCGCCGGCCGAGCAGGTGCTCCGGCAGCTCGGCCAGCTCCTCTCCCAGCGGCCCGGTGTGATCACGGAGCTGGGGGCATTGCTGGAGGCCGCGGAGCCGCGGTGGCTGTTCGGGGCCGGGAGCCCTGCCGCGCTCGGCGAATTGGCGGCCGCGCTGAGCGCCTTCGCGGCCCTCCCGGAACGCGAGCAGGACGCGGTTGAGCTCCGCGACGGGGACGGCGCCTACGCGGCCGCAGCTGAGAGAGCAGCCGATGTCGGCGGTGTGTTCCTGCGGCTCCTCGCTAAGCTAGAGGCTGCCAAGGCCGAGGAGTCGCTGGGGCCCGCCGTGGAGCCGGTCCTGCGGAGTGTGATGGGGCACATCTACGTGCTGGCGGTGACGCACATCGAGGAGGCCGCCTGGACCGGTGTCAGGTCCCGCGCTGTGGCCACGGAGCTGCTGGGGGCTCTGGTGCGGGCCGCGGGCTGCCGGACTCTCGCGGAGCTCCTTCGGGGGAGGAAGGAAGAGGAGGAAGGAGGATTCGCGGCGGTGATGAGGCTGCTGAGGCCGCGGCTGGGCAAGTGAGTGGGAGGAGCAGGTCCTGGGTGGGAAACGTGGGGAGATTTGGTGTGTGACTTCGTGCAGGGTGAGCTCACGTTAGGAGGAGGGCCGCAGAAATGATCCGAGGGATGGAGCGTCCTCCCTGTGAGGGCAGGCTGAGGGGTGTGCGGCCTCAGGAAGAGGAGGCTCTGGGGAGACTTCAAAGCAGCCTTTCAGTATCTAAAGGAGCAGACTCCTTAGTAGGGTCTGATAGACTCCTTAGTAGGGTCTGTGATAGAACAAGGGGAAACGGTTTCATACTAAAAGAGGGGAGATTTGGGCTCAATATAAGGAAAAAGTTTGTTGCAACTTCCAACTCAAACTATTCAATGATTCTCTGGGCTCCTGTTTGTATTCCTAGAGACACCTGGAAGCGCAACCCAGCCACCAAGCACGTCTTCTCCTGGACGCTGCTGCACATCACCCGGCCATGGCTCAGCCAGCACCTGGAGCGCGTCCTCCCCGCATCGCTGCTCATCTCGGATGACTTTCGGGAGGAGAACAAAGTCCTGGGTGTGCACTGCCTGCACCACATCGTTCTCAATGTGGTAAGGGGAAGTTGGATCTCCTCCTGGCTGTTGTTTGAAGGAAGGGTGGTTTTGGATACCTGTCAGGTTTCCAAAATTTCTGCTCATGGTTCTTCTGTTAACCTTGTAATTTTCCCCCTTGCTCCATGCTGTCTCTTTTTAAGCTTGTATTTCTCCTATTTGTTGCAGCAAGCAAAGATTTCCTTTGCCATATTTTGAATTCAGATGATGCATGCATCAGCCTAACAATAATTTACAGGACAGGGTATTAAATTAATGCCAAAGGAACTGCTAAGCAGCAGCTGGGGAGGCAAGGGAAAGTGGCTGCTCCTGTGCATGGCAAGGTTCAAGCTGCATTTGCTATGGCACCTGGTCCCACTTTCTTGTAAGCAGTGTTCCTGAGTGCTGTTTTTACAAAGCCTAGGTTTGTGAATACTTCCCCTCTGATTAGGTTTAGTGAGCACAGAAGGTGATGCTTGGGAATAATGTTGTGTGCTCTCTTTCAGCCAGGTGCTGATCTGTGCCAGTTCAACAGGGCTCAGGTTGTGTACCATGCCCTTTACAATCACCTCTACTCACGAGAGGCTCCTCTCATCCAGGTAAGATAGCAGAACTTAATTTTAATCTGCCTTATGTTGTTGCATATCAGCCCTAAGTGGGGTAGGCAGCTAAAAGCATGAGGAGGCAGAACCTGTTTGCTCCCAGTTCAGGTTGTTAACAGCAGGTATTTGCATCCAGGGGACAAAGTAACTCAGCAGATTTCAGGAACAATGTCAAAGGTGGCGGCAGCCTTGCTGAAGTGGCCAGCCAGGGGGGAAGCAGGCAGAAAGTCTATGGGGGCTGCAGCTGTAGGGGCTGGAAACTGCGTGTAATTTATGTCAGAGGGACTGCACAGGTTTCCCATCCTGCACCAGGCAGTACTGCTGTGCCTGCTGGACTTGCTGCCTGTCCTGGAAAGAGCGCAGCGGCAACAACCCAGGCCAACCTCACCCTGTGATGAGGTGTTGCAGCTGGTTCTGACCCACATGGAGCCAGAGCATCGGCTCGCACTGCGGCGAGTGTATGCCAAAACCCTGCCTGCCTTTGTGCAGAGGTGAGAGCAGCAACCACAACCCTGCAGGACCTTGTTTTGTCCCTGGTATACATCTCCCTCCTCAGTGCGTGCTCTGTGTTGACAGACTTGGCATCCTGATAGCACGGCACCTGAAGAGGCTAGAGAGGGTTATCCTGGGTTACCTGGAAGTCTCTGATGGCCCTGAGGAAGAAGCCAGACTGGGAATACTGGAGACACTGCAGTGCACCATAGAGCGTGCTTGGCCCAGGTACTGATCTAGGGTGAAGGATGCTGCAGAAAGCATCTCCTGAATGGATATTGGCCCTTTCAGAGCTACACTTAGTGTTATCTGAGGCAAAGGCCTTGAAACCTGGAGGGAAGCTTCTCACAGGGAGCAATCACTAGCACAACTGCATTCCTGAAAAACCCTGCCCAAAAGTTAAATCTTTATTTTTTATCTTTTTCCTGCTCTAAAAGTGTAACCTTGCCAAAAAAGTCAATCTATGCGCTCTGTGTGGCAGAGTTGTGGAGCAAGTCCTGCGCTGTTAAAGTTACCTCTGTGTTCAGGGCCTGTGTCTTTCCTCTGGTGGGCATTCCTTCAGCCTCATCACTGAAGCATTTGTTTCCTGTAATCCAGATTCACGTGTAAATAGCCACTAACAACTTCTGCTTGGAACTGCAAAGCAAGGCTGTGCTTTTGCCTGGCTCACAAAGAGGTTTTATATTCAGGCATGCACGCTCTTTCCTTTCTCAGAATGCCATGCAGGCTCCCTGTGCTGCTCAAAGCCCTACTGAAGATGATCTGGGATGTCCACACTGACCAGGGCTCAACACCAGAGCCAGTGAGAGCTGCCTTGCTCCAGAGAGCCACCGAGTGCCTCATCCTGCTGGATCGGTGCTCTGAAGGACAAGTGAAGGTGAGCTGGGGACCCAGTAATAATTTATCTCTGCTCTTCCCCCTTTAAAAAAAAACCAAACAAACAAAACAACATGGTGCATGCAAGAGCCCATTTGTTTCTTAAATCCAACAGTATTTCCACCCACCCTGTCAGTACTTGGCTTAATTGATAGAGGACCTGATATATAGCAATGGATTTTGTATTGATCTCAAGGGCATCTGAGCACAGCTGATTGCACCATACATCTCAGTGTGCCAGGGCAATGGAAGCTGATGCTTTTCCTGTTTCAGATTCTGCTGGAAGGTGTGTACAGCTGCTGTGAGGAGAACCGTGTGCGGGAATGCATCAGGAGAGTGCAAGAGAACACGTGAGGCAAGACAAGGTTCATTCTGCTTTTTGTACAGTAAAATATGTTTTTTTATTTAAGTTACTTTGTCCTTCTCCTCTTTTGTCTCACACCTCCCTCAAACAAGGTTTGCTTCAGTGCTCTCCTAGCCCCAAGCAGGCTTCTCCAGCTTGAGAACAAAGCAGCATTGTCTCCAGTCCAGGTTCTTTTGTGGAGCAGTCCTTGCTGAGCCTCATGTGGTTGTACAGAAGTTGGGGTCTTAAAACTACACTTTATACAACAGTTGTACAGACTTGCTGCGATTGCCTGGGCTCAGGACAAAAATCCTCATCTCCTTTTTAAAAAAAAAATTATTAAGCTACAATATTGAAAAAGCAATTTTTGATAATCCTGTTTGAAGTGGTGAAAGCTGCAGTAGTTCTAATGGACACATCTGGTGTTGTCATTCAGCAAAAAAATGCAAGTTCAGGAGTCAGGACACTTTTGTTTTGGTGGCTGGCTCTGTTTCTTCCTCATACTCTATTTCAATGTAAGGGCGTTTTCTTCTGGTCGGTCCTTTCAAAGGAGTTTTCCCCTTAGATGTGGAGCGAGATGCTTTCTTCTCTGTTTCTTCCTCATCTTCCTGCTCCTCTTCACTACTTGTCTCTAACTTATCCATGTCCTGAGGAAGGAAAAGAATCAGAGCACACTGTACAACTAAGCCTCCCCTTCCTGCAAAATTATCTTGTGTATCCAATTCCATTTTATAATTCCTGGCTCCCAGCTGTCTAGCCAGAGCAACTAGGCCATGGTGGACACTGTGCAGTTCTTCAACTGAATCATTATATCCCACAAATGTGATTTACTGGCTCTTATCCCATCACCAGAGCCCCCAGGCCGGCAGAGATTACTTTCAAACAGTTTAGCTTGACAGTTTATCCCTGCTGTTTCGCTTACCTCAAAGTCGCTGAGGTCACTGTCATCTGCTTCCACAAACTCTCTTTTATCTTTGTCCTGGAGGAAACAAAGTCAGAAATAGGCTGAGAAATACCCCATCACAATTCACAGTGTAGGAGCCAAAAAGACCAAGACCTGCCCATGTTTTTTTCTGTATTCACCTCTCCTGATCTGTTCCCCTCCCTTGGCACTAACACTGAACACTCAGTCTGCAAGTGAATTAGAGCTGTTGCATCTCAAGGGAGGGTTAGCTGTGATGCTCTGGTTGAAAGCATTACCTCATCATCATCTTCTTCCTTTTCCATGTCAGACTCGCTCTCACTTTCTGCATCCTGCTGCTGTAGGGCTTTGTCAAAGGCATGAATGGGGAAGTTGTAAATGTCTCCATACTGAAAAGAAAACAACAACAACAACAAATACTTTCTATAAGCCCAGGGAGAAGCAGGCATTGGTAGCAGAGTCATCTGAGGCCTGTACAGTTATACCACAGCAGGCTGAAATAGGCATTCCTGAAGAATGAGGAGCTCAGCATCTTGGGAAAGGACTGAGGCAGTAGAAGCAGTTGTACTGCTGTGTTCTGAAGGCAGTGACTCTTACCGTATCCTGCTTCAGTCTTTCCAGCAATTCCTTCTCAATGGCATTATCTAGCTGAGCAGCAATCAGGGCTTTCTCCTAAGAGAGGAAAAAAAGGACCTGTGTCAGTTCTCTCAAAGGCATGAGAAACAGAAGCAACAGACAGGAGATGACAAGAGTCATTACCTCTCTCCTCTTCTCTCGCCTTTCAATCTTTCTGCTTAATGGAACGATCTTCCTCCTGCAGGGAACAAGAGCTGCTTAATGAACCTTTCAGCCTCTTGTGTAGCAGATGGGCAAATGCTTGCTCAGAACAACAACCAGCAGCTGCATCATTAGAAATGCGGGTGTAACGAGTTTAGGTGCATCTATCTATGCATATTAAGATGCTGTTACATCAGTTTAAAGCTGGTTCATTTAGAAGCTGGCCAAAGCCAGCAGGAAAGCAGCACACACTGCAGGTGCAGTGGAGCCAGGAAAGGGTTCTGCACACAGCCTGTGGCAGCAGCTCAGTGCACAGGCAACAGCCTTAAGTCAAACCAACACAATCACTCTTGGTGTCACTTACTGTCTCTTTAGAGTCAGCTTCCGGATGCGGATGAGGTACTGGGTGATCTTGGTGAACCGCTGCTTGCATTTGTGTCGGATGAACCGTGGCCAGTAGATGAGATTCTCATCTATCTCCTCCAGTGCTTTCTCATAGTTCTTGCTCAGCAGGACCTGGGGAAAAGGGGAAGGGTGGAGCGAAGGGGACTTGGAAGGAGCTCGACTGCCCCCCGCCTGTAGGTACATGATGGTGGAATGTGCTTGGTTAGCAGTCTGCTCTCATCAACTCACCCGCTCCCACAGCCGACGGGGAAACGGAGCGCGCTCTATGGTCTTCATGTACAGGTAACATCGGCCTATAGAGAAGAACATGACCCCACTGAGACCTGAACATGGAGTGGGGCACAGAGCCAGGCCCCCAGGTTGCTCCCACAGGCCAAAGGCTGTGAGCAGAGGCTGTCCCAGCACTCACCCTTCTCCTCACGGATGGTTGCATACTGACTGTTGGCCAGCGGGCAGGAGGAGCGGTTGCACAGCCCGGTCAGGTTGTATTCATTGCGACAGAAGCTCTGGGTTTTGGTCCTGGAAGGGAGAGCTGTAAGATGGAGCTGTGCATTGCCTGGGCTCGCTACCCCTACATGCACACACACTCACCTGATCTTGTAGGAGCAGAACTGCTTGTTTCCGAGCGTGTCCCAGACAATCTGCAGGGACAAACCACAGGTCAGCAAGCACCCTAGGACCCCGTAATCCTTCCAATCCCCAGAGCAAGCAAGGCTGTAACAGAGGGGACCCACACTGCAGGGAAAAGATGCAGCATAACCAAATCCCCTCTACGTTGCCCCAGCTCCTGCCTCTCGATCCAGCCGCCTCCACGTGTTATTTTCCCGCGGATGGGAGGGACTGCCCGAGCCGGACGAACCGACCCAGCCCCAGGCTAGCCGCTAATTATCTGCGGCGGGGGCGGATAAAACGGAACCGAACCGTGCCGCGGACTCACATCATCAGAGTGCATGGCGGCGCGGAACCGCGCGGCCTAGAGCGCCGCCATCACCGGAAGGGGGCGGGGCATCCGGGAAGCGAGAGTCTCGCGTGAGCGTCGCGAGACTTTTTGCGAGGGTCTCGCGAGAGTTGCGGGGGTGTCATGGCGGCGGTGTGAGGCGCGTTGCAGGGCTGAGGGAAGCGCTGCGCGGTGTGGTTCCGTCAGCTGGTGGCTGGAATGTTGCAAAAATGGGCATTAAATGGAGCTACTCGTTGCGATTGGTTGGGATCGCAGACGTCCCGTGACCTCATCTCAGCTAAAGGCGTCTGCGGTAACGCTCTGTCACTGTAATCACAGGTGAACTCAGTGACTGAAGCAGCGTCTAAAGGCTTAAAACTTTCAGCCTTATATTTAAGTGAATTTCTCAAGAGTTCTTCACGAATGGTAGAAGGGCAGTACAAGCAGCCCTTACGTGAATAGCACGTAAATAGAAAGCACAGTCTGTACCGAGACAACAAGGAACTTTTAAAAATTGCCTTCAAGTGAGCATGGAGCACATGAACAGGACAGAGCTGTCTTTATTGGATCCTGCTGATACAGAAAGGTTTTGTGCCGGGGATTACAGCAGAACTCTGGAGGAAGGGATGTCCTGAAGCTGCTGACTTCATTTTGGTTTTCTCTGGTGCTTTTCTTCCCAAAGTAATAAGCACTTAAAAGACATTAACGAATGCAACTCGTGTGGGGGAGGTGTTGGTCTTATCCCTGTTGTGTGGGCTGGCAGCCCAGGACAGCATGGCATTATTCTCTACATTGTATGTTTTTTACATCTGAGGTGGATTTTGAGTGACCTTCCTGGATGTCACCCAGCAAAGGGGTGGCAGAGTTGGGCAGGAAGCCTCCAAGTGCATTCCCTGATGTAGATTGACTGCCAGGAGAACAGCTGAACGTACAGCCCATGTCCGTCCTGTGCCTACAGGTCTTGGGTTATTCCTGGGTGCTGAGAGATACATTGCTCTGTGAACTTAACATAGCTTCAAGCAGGACATGCAGCCTTGCTGCTATTCCACATTTTCTGCCTCCACATCACTGTTGTCTGGGAGAGGGAAATCCCGCAGTGGCTTCTGAGTGGTGGAGCTTTTGGTTTGCATGGGGCATTCCTGGCTTAAAATTGCCTACATAAAGGAGAGAAGTGATGTTTTAGTAAAAGTGGCCATTAATTTTAATAATAAATGGAAGCGTTGCTAGCTTTAGAGAAAGCCCAGGGAATACAAGCTGTGAATTAGGAGGATCCAGTCCCTGGCTAATTTATCCTAATTCCCTCCACATATCTCTGGATTATCAAGCTCCTATACTTTAGGGCAGTCAAGTACACTCACTATCTTCTCCTCTTTAGCAGGAGGGCTTCTCAAGAACCAGCAGAGAGGAGCATAAACAATGTTGGTAACTCCAATGATGACCATCAGCCAGGGAAACCCAATAGCTCGTACAATCGCACCGCCTGTTGAGGGACCTGCACATTTAAATATGAACAAAGGCTCAGGAGGCAGGAAAAGAGCAAAAGGTGCTCTTCCACTTTGGAAGGGATCTAAAGCCTGCAATGGCTGTGCTACAGACTCAGTGACAGTTGCTGCCATTGGACAGTGGGTGGAGGAAAGCATTGAGAACAACACCCCACGGGTCCATACCAATTGCAAAGCCCATGCAGAAGGCAACATCTGCAATGGCATAGACATTGCCATAGACAGAGGTGTGGCGAAGGTCCACGAGGTAACCCATAATAGGCATCATGGAGGAGTCCACCATTCCTGCTCGGAGCAAGCATGAGATCATGAGGTATTTTTCTCAGGGCAGTGCTGGGAATTGTACAGACTGACCACTTACCTATGGCGAAGCCAAGCCCACCATTTGGGCCAATCAGCCCATAAATATTTTTTGCCAGGGGCACCTTAGAGAGGAAAGAGAGAAGGTGTGAATGAGGCCACAAGAGCTTCAAGGTGAGGAGGCACAGCATAGTTCTGTGAAACAGATCTGTGGTGCAATCCC